AAAGGATATGTTTTCTAACGAGATAGACATTTTATTGGGCCTCTCCGACTGGATAAGAAACTTAAAGTGATATTTGATGGGAGCATGCAAAGGCCAAACGAGATATGACCGATATTTTGGCGGTCAAATAGCTTTCGTCGTTCCCTTGATGTTTCTTACAAAATATACTATAACAAGATGTCCCAAATAACTTATTTAAAGCAACTAAAATATGTAAAGAGTCATTCTCTATACGTGCGTGATAAATAGCAAACTGCAAGTTCAACTTTTCCGTAGAGCGCGCTCGATCATCCGAATGACGGGTTTAATTACTAATTAGAATTATCTCCGGGCATTCCGTATTGCAGCCAGCAACAGACCACCTGAAACAGGCTTTTAAACAAAGGATCAAAGACGCCTGCAAATTCAAAGAGACTGAAACTGTGACAACTAAGGTTTCAGGCGGATTTTCAGAAAATTGTTATTTTTGATCGTGCGGAGTGAATAGTTTTATCAACTTGAAGCTCAGCCCAAGTCGAGCAGTCATATGGACATTCACTTACTGTGCTGTACATGATACCGAAACTGGTCACGGTACCGTAAGACCGAGCTTGCCTCCAATAACAAATACATATCACATTATCTCATACGAGTCCCAGTGAATGAATACAAAATTGCAATTATATTGTCTACTTGAAAATGAAAAACAATTATTGCCCATAATTGGTGGAAATTGAGCCCGCATACCGGCTTGTATACAGTATTCGGATGCTTCAACTAATCATTCCTTAATTACATCCCAGTGTCAGTCATTTAACCTGGGCAGACATGGCGGAAGAAAAGTAATTGCTTTTTTTTTTTTTTTTTTTTGCTTGCGAGTAATAGATGAAAAATTATATGTTGTACCGATAGATTTTTTGCAGGCAGCTCTTGTGTAATACATTTTTGGTGCGACTCAGCAATACATTCACAAAAATTGCTATCCTTTCAAAGTTAATCTTTTCGAAATTAATATTCCACTTTTGTTAAGTATATCGCAGTTTTTATGGTAAGTTAATAATTTGTGGGCAAATTTGATACAAGTTTTGATTTTTTTTTTTTTTGGGGGGGGGGAGGGGGGGACGATATCTTCATTGGAAGTCGTACAGGTAATTTCAGACCAATCTCCCCAGAAGTCATTCTTCCTGTCCCATTGGCACTACCTCGCATTTGCAGCTGTAATTAGTCAACGACACCACGTGTTTCAGCGTCTTCTCGTTAAGGAAGCCGCAAACGAGGAGCTGGGGTCACCTGTTGTGATCTTGTCAGCATAAAATCCTATCAATCACTCTGAATTATTAATGTTGGTCGCATGCACCTGTTGCCGGCCATGTTCTTGCAGGCTAGTTTTATTCAAATCCACCGAGGACTTTCACTACCTGTCTAAATGACACGTCAAAACCACTTACGTTGACTTGTGACCGACCACGCCAGCTTGTTCAGCGGTACTTTTCATGTGGCCTTAATATCCGGATTGTGCTTAAATTTGTTATGATCATTTAAGATGGCATGGGCGAATGAACTTATCTAATATACTTTCTTTGACCTTGATCAGAGAGAACAGACGTGATTTTTAAACAAAACATTTTCTTATCTAAAATGCATGTGCGACGTTTCCAAGCACCTGTCTCCTTCAGTGCAACAGGTTCACCTAGAAATCTAATCAAACTATCAAGGAACAGGCTTTCTTTCTTCTCTGATGATTCCATTTATATTTCAAAAATAATGTACACTTATACGGTGATGCTTTGACAACTTTACAAAAAAACATGACAATAAATCGCGCGGTGGTTCCCTTTCTATGGCGGCGTTTCATACAATATGGAGGCTGTAATGTTATACAAGATGAAAGATTCATAGCTGTTTGTTAGGCTGTCGGCCTGATTTCACTAAAGGTAAAACAAGACAAAGGCTAGCCCTCATCTTTGTCTGTCTTTTTTGAAACTTCACTGTGTAGGTGTATTAATTAGCGGCGGGCGGGAGGATGGGAGGGTGTCGATGTTATCACACACGGAGGCACCATTGCGTAATCCACGATAGTGCTGCCGGCGGCGTCCATTTCGTCCCCATTGATGGACGCAGGTGTACCTTATCATAAAGTCGATGTAATTAGGTGACGGTGACATCATAGCTTTGTTATATGAGCATACACGTGTAATGAACTTGTAGGGAGTTGGTTTTGTTGGAACTTTTGATGATGAGGTCGTTTAGCCCATTGGTATATTTCTATTGTCCGAAGTCCTCTTGACCTAGTTTGCTGATAATTCAATTCCCTCAGGGACTCCTAAAATGTTCACTGAAATAACATTTCTTAATGTTTTGATCCCGTAATTACTATATGATATTTCTTTCTCTTTTGCGTTAAAATGTAGGTGATACAACATTTTAAATCCTATTTATATCTTTTTTTATTAAGTAGTTAACTGAGAATCTACTATAGAAATGCAGAATGTCTTTTTATTGAAAATAAACAATAGATCAAGTAGACTCCAATTAGGGCTCTTAAAATGTGTGCAAAAAGTCAATTGGTCGCCGTGCACCATTTTGTGGGTTTGAACTGCGTGACGGCAACTATCAGTGGTGACTATTTTCAATATTATTCAGCACTTTTTGCTAACTTCATTCCAAATATATGTGGGCTTAAGTGACATACAGCTGTCTCCGAGATGGCTGGAGAGAGAAGCTGGCCTAAACAAAGGAAACACAAAGACAAATATTGTTCTGTCAAAATTATAACGTCTATCGCATGGGTAGAGTCATTTATTTGTTTAGAGGGCTCACTAACCAGGCGGTGATATATTTCACATGATGATAGCAGCCTGTCATCCCTTTTCCCACAGACAAATAAAAATAGCAAATATAATTTATTTCATATAAAGCGGTTTTGGACGTAAACGCACGATTCTTATGTATGCGTGGTTTGAACGTAGGTGGAAAATATTTTAGATTCAATGTACGTCATACGCGGCTTTGTCTTAAAATAAGTAACGTTTTGCCTCCAGTGTTCTTGCTCCGAAAGAGAAGAATACTAATGATCAATTGCAATTTCTTTAGAATAAAGATTCAAGTAAAGCGACAAAATTCTGCTTGATTGAGGATATTCTTTGTTCCCTATCTTTAAAAGTTTGCACACTTTGGTTTTCAATCGGATCTGTGAAAAAAAGAACGATTTTAAAGTTATTTCACAATTTGTCACGCTTTCATGAGCATGCGTCTATGTCAATTATTTTTCAAGTAGAGTTTGTTGAATAATCTATGTTTTTCGCTTCACCAGGAAGCGGCATTGCCCTGCTAAACGACCGCCATGTTGGTATTGCTTTTTTGTACGCCACTTCAATACCGGTTCAAGTTTTTAATTTCCTCCTCTCTGCTCTGCTTGACGTTTTTTCTCGCGAGTAGTTTTCTCAACTTGTTAATACCAACCCTCGAGTGAGATAAAAACTTATTTATCCAAAACAATTCTTTAACATATAGTAGTTTTAGTAAGATTGAGTCATTTATTACTGTAATAAGGACTAGAAATGAGATCGTCACAGAAAATAGCTATTATAATTTTGTTTCGTTTAAGTGTTGGGAAGCGAAGTGTGGCAAAATTACCAGTCGTCGGTGCTTTTGGCGTAGCAAATAGTGCACGGGGTGGGTTGACTAACGGCTGTTGTGACAAATTGCGGAAAATCGTTGGAAAAACTAGCACTGTTAAATTGAGAGTAATACTCAAAATGAGCGTTTAACAACAAAATTGAAGGGTCCATCATGAAATCGCTGCGAGTTCTAACAAAGTTGCAAATTAAATTCCTTATCGCACCTCGTATGCCATATATTTATCTGCCGTGGTTGGGTGAAGGCGTAAAACCGTCAAGGTTGGCTGCGCTATGATACGAGATATCATCGGCGGATTTTGATTTCACCTTGCGATACACGGAGCCGCGGGGGGCTGCCAGCTCCTAGGGCGCCGTGGGAAGGAGGTTGAAATTTATCAAGTACTGAACAGTGAACAAATTTCTAATTATACTCCCAAGGAAGATTTATGGTTTGGTTTCATGATGAGGGTCCATGAAAATAAAGTTATTAATCCATTTGTACTCCATACGGCTTTTCCCGGACCGCCTATTTCAAGTCCGAGGTGATCATCGTTTTCTAAACACGGCTCAGGTATTTTTTGGAGACATCCGATATATAGGAAACGTCTGAAAATTTTGAAGGCACATATTAGTAATGGCAACATAAAAATGAAATTCTAGTTCTTACATAGCCAACAAACATAGATCACCATTCTTCAAGATCACTGAAAACCACAAGTAAACAAATAAAGATGTCTACCCAGGAAAGCCAACCTCTTTTTTAGACAAACAAGACGCTGGCTGTGCCAGGCTTGTAAAATATATTCATAGATGACTTGATATATAAGAAAAGGATATGCATGCTTTTTTCATCGTCCGAAATCCATTCTTTAAGATGCATTAAATTACAAAAAAAGGTTAAGCCGCTTTAGAATCAAGATTTTTATTTATTATTATTATTTATTTTTTTGTTTATCATGATATCACCCATAAAAAGCTTTTAATTAAGAAAAATGAAGTTTTCTCATCGAAAAACATGCGCTAATTGAGATCTCTCTGATGTTGCCTGATGAAGTCTGCCATACGCCGGTGCTCGCTGGGGTAGCCATCGTGTGAGAAATGAGAATCAGAAACCAACATTCCTATCGTCTCACATCATCGAGGTCGTATTATGGCATTTGGTTGACAAATAGACTTGATATACGCAGACGACCCTAGCCGCGAACCCGTCCTGTTTCTTTTATAACGAGTACCATTCTGTTTTTAAAAAAAGAAAAGCTAACCTAATTTTGAATTCACTAGAGGTATTTAGATCTCTACTGAGCGTCTCTTATGATTAATTTTTTTAAAAACTATAATAGAGTGAGATCAGTATCTGCCATAGTCGTCAACTGTAAATAACTCGTGTTTCTTTGCTTGCAGGTCAAAATCTGGTTCCAAAACAGAAGAAGCAAGTACAAGAAGATCATGAAGCAGCAGCAGAATACCCCAGGGGGAACCCCGGGGCAAGTGGTCCCCACGGGTCAGCAGTCCCCTACGGGCCCCAATCCAGCTCAACCCCAAGGCACCTCTAGTCCACATCATCCACACACCCCTAACGGCATGGACAGCCCCCAGTCACCACCCACGCCAACGCAACCGAACGGGCCACATCAAACAAATATGTTACCTACTCCCCCAGGGGGTGATATGAGTCCCCCGGGGACTTGGCCTGATTACAGCGGAGGCCACACCCAGTCCACGAACAGTTATATCAACGTGAATAGCACGGGCCCAGGAAATTACATGCCGCAGTACGCTGCATGGTACCAGTCGCCCAACCCTATGGCTATGAGTCAACCCTCAACACTGCTCACATAGAAATAACACTGGCATAGATAGATTTAATATATACATAAATATATAATATGATAACGAGAGTGGAAAGATTTGAAACTAACTTTGGATCAAAGAGCTGAACCGGGACGTATGCGATCCACGAATATTGAAAGGGTTGCTCAAAATTGGTAGGAAGATCTTCCTGTTGGAGGAGAAGTCGTGGGAGTCGTGCCCATTGCTCCCCCCGCCTCTCCCTGCCAGTAAGTTAGCTACCGCCATCTATCACGAGAACAGTATGAAGCCAAATGTGACTTCGTGACGCATGGACAATCTCTTTACGTAACTGAACCGCGTCACGACAACGTCGAACTCCCACGTGACTCTTTCTACCTCATCTTGAAATCCGAACACGAGAATGGCCAAACTTAGTTAGTGTTTTCCACCTGAATTGAGCCGCCATAGATTGGAGTATGCTGAGGCCATACAAGAGTTCGTTTCTGTACAACAGTCATGCATTCCTTATTTTACTGTTAACCGGGACATTAGTGCAAATAAAAAAGGACTCAACCTTGTGTTAACAATGACCTCCAGCGGACTTTATGATTTTCTTCACAGACGAAAAAACCAAAACGCAAAAGCCTAGAATATAATCAAGTGGCCTTAAGTTAGAGTAGATATATGTATATACTGAAAATTTCATCTATTATATTTATGTGAAAGATATTTTTGAATTGTTTAAAAGAAAGCGGTGTGTAAATATGTAAGTGTATTATTGTATATTTTAATGTCTAGTTAGCTTGCAGATGAAATCACGTTCCAATCCAAAGAGATTAGATGACTTCAATTTTCTTCTGCTCTGTTGTGCGGTGCGGGCATAACTAAATGGTCAAATAATAGTTTGGAATAATGATTCTTTGGGGCTTGTAGGATGAATTTTTCCAAACATGGTGCTTTTCTACCATTCCATGACAATTTTTTTCTGTGCAAATGAGAGATTTTGCTGTTCATGGCAGAAATGATTTAGAGGAATATTAAGCGTTTTATTATGTATTCGTTAAAGAGGCCATTGTAAATTGGTGTACTATATATTTGTTTTTACACACGTTACACGGTTGATATATCGTGGTGGATATTTTATTTCAAACAACAGGGTAAAAAATCAAGACAAGAGATAGTAAAATGAAAAGTGCTTCACGCTTTAGAATATTTAGAGGGGCTTACCTGTGTTCAGATCTTTAGACCAAACATTGTCAGTTGACAACCCCACAGGATATGCTGTTATTATAAAATGCAAAGACGCGCACAGTTTTTTTACGTGGTATATGATTTCAGTGCACAGGTAAATAATGTGGTTGTGATTTTTTTACAATAATTTTTTTCGACATAAACATCAGTATGAAAGACATTCTTATACATCTGTGTGCCAGGGGGCTAATTTTTGTGCTCTTTGTATGAATTATCAGCCCAGAATACACTTAATAGTGAGAACACCAATGACCATAGCTATGTTATTTTAGTTGTATCTTTTAGCACAAATAAGTCAGTCCGACCCAATTTTTTGTTATCATTCACCGACTTTACATTCATTCTTTCTTTAGACACTGTGAAAAATACGTTGCAATAATACCGATGCCAAGAATTAAAGGGACGTTTTTGTGAGATATTTATGACGTCAAGAGGTGTCAAGTTAATATTCTTCTTATTGTTGTGAAAGAAAAAACATCAAGTGCAGTACAAATCGTTAGCTGACCTTTGAACAAACATCTTGTCATCTTTGTAAATACGAAGTTCGTGTTACTATAAATATTTAATAAAAAATCATCTCACAGATATTTTTGTCTATCTTATATGTTTCAATCGCGTATAGATAAAAGCAGGTACGTGAAGAGGAGTCGAATTATTCAATTTTGCCTCTGCAACTCTGATCCTAAACTTGGCTGTCGTTTAACATATAACGTCCCTTTTCTCTAAGTCTTTACATAAATATTCTTTAAAGTGCTGCACATTATATACATCATAAAAACTTACATTTTTTTGTAAAAAAAAAAAGATACGTAAATATCAAGCACAAAATAAACTAGTATTAAAATGAAATGACATGGCCAGTAAAAAGAGAAACGGGCGATGCGAAATGTACGCGAAATGTACGGTTGTAGCAGCTAAAAGCAAGGTGAAATGTGTTGAAAGTTGAATATAAATTTCCTGTCTGATCTTTGACACAATTACGTATGGCAGATGATGGTATTAGCGGTAACAGACCGTCATACTGAACCATCAGTTATGTATATAAAAGTACATATCCCGTTTCTCTTTGGCGCAATCTGATTATGTCGCCTCATTTTCTTATACAGCAACCGCCAGCATGTTGTATTTTGTTTTCTGTTCGCAGGGCCTCTCATTCAACCTCAGTTTTTTCTTCTATTGTTAAGAAATTTTTGTTATCAAAACGTGTGTTTGGGAATAGGGAGCAGTTTACAAAAGAAACATTGCTCTTCATTTTAAGATCATTTTTGTCTGCATGCTTCAATTCAGAGAATAAAGCTTTGGCAACTGATGATTTAGAGTTTAGATTTTTCACACTTTTTATACGTCCATTACAACATTTTATTGAATGTGATCACTACTGTTTTTGAGGATGAGTTCACAAAAAATCGATCTCCTGTTCTTTTTTTAAATTGGTCTCTATTTTATTTGTAACGTCTTTGACCAGGACATAGCTTTATTAACTTTTACTTACGGAGAGTGGCCGGTAGATATGACTTTATTTTTATTTTTATTTCTTCGTGCATAACCCTGTAATCATTTCAAAACCAGAAGAAGATTGCTTAGTTTGCAGTGCCGCATGCGAAATTCCTTATTCAAAATCACAATCGGACTAAAGAGAAGACTTCTTTTCTCTCTCTCTCTCTCTCTCTCTCTCTCTCTCTCTCGCAGCAGCAGCAGCAGGTTTTTGGATTTTTGACCATCACTTAACGTTAATGAAACTTGTAACATTTATTTTTCCTTGTGTATTTTATAGTATCTCTAATAATTTTCTATATATAAATTTTAAAGGAAAATAACCAGTCTCTCTAGATGAACTTTGTCATTTCACGATAAATTTTTAATATATCTTCACCATGTCAATGACCGTTTGTATATATCAAGCTTATGATTGGATATTCTGAATATACTGATTTCTGTAAGTTGCAATGAGGTAAAGCCTAGAATGGACAGTTTTTTAATCCTTCAAAATTGACAACCTGAAATAAAGCTGCTTCCCTTCACAGAGATAAAACATTGAAACCAAATAGAAATATTATATTAAGCGCCAAGTTTTATTGATATAAAGTTATACTGTATGATACAGTATGAAAAAATCAATGTAATTGAATCAAAACTACCGAGAAAAAGGCAGTTAGCTTCCTATCTAAAGGCAGAAAACTGAACATTTGAAAAAAATCTTTTATCAAGGCAGATACACAAGAGGAACTGTTTCTTAAATATTTTAGGTGTATTATTATTATTATTATTATTATTATTATTATTATTATTATTATTATTATTATTTTGTGTATTCTCTCAGTGAAAAGAAATCAACACCTCAGACGCTAACAGATATGCTTACTCAGAAATATCTCTCTGTTAAGTACCTTTGCACGTGCCACGTAGCAGGCTATATGAGAGGCTAGAACAGGTAAACAATACATTCAGATGGTGGTCAAAATCAGGTGGAATCCTGGTTATTTTGACGTGCCTTACTTGTTATCAAATTCCTGAAATGTCAATATATTGAACTTTACATCAACTGGGATATACGATTAGGAAGATGCAAATACAAAACCAATGTATCCCCTCCCCCCGAAAAAATCAGTAATAACCACACAGCGCTATAAGCGGGTGACATTAATTTATTCCGTACAGATAAGGAATGACACAAATACGGCATAAAACTGTAATGAACTCTGTTCCGTTGTAAAAAATAAAAAGGCCGCTGCAGCTGTAAAAACTAAGCCAACTATTCGCCTTCACCAATCGAAGAAACATTTGGGACGCCTCTCTCAATCAAGGCTCGCAAGGTTGATCCGCGGGAAGAGAGTTAGAGATACAAATTATACTTAATGATCCCCCTTGCAATCGTCTATTGAATTCGCCACAGACACGACCGCTTCCATTTCCATTTCCGAGCGCATCGATCGACTCAATTAGGGTTTGATATCTAATTAATTTATTTCATAATTAAGGCTCGACGACAACGGTTTCTTTTCGCATGGCTGCGACGTTTATTTTTGATTGTGCTCAATTGAGTTCTTTTCTTTCGCGACGGGGGACTTTAACGGCTGAGTAGAGGCCGCATGAGAGGCGCTAGGATATGGATTGACTTCCGCGCGCTTTTGTTGGTGAAAAAAGTGTGAAATTACAGCTATTAGATCGCAATTACTCGTCTGATTATTACTATTAATTATCCCTCCAAGTTTCCTATGCTAGATCTCAGGATTTGACGACCGTGTGAGAAAGCTAGAAAGCTTTTCCCTGCGGCTGAAGTGATTGTTAATTCCCAGGCAGGCTTGGGCGAGGGATCGAGATAAGAAGTCTAGTTGCGTTGCTTCAAGAAGTCATTGAACGCGGTGCGTTAAAGTAGCATAAAACAGGACGCTTACTGGTTGATTTTAACTATAAGTTTAGGGAAGGCTTAAAGCTCATAGTTTATAAAACAATGTAATAAATATATGCTACATGTATATCATATTGTTAAAAAGGCATGAATTAGTATGGATAGTCCATTGATTTTGAAACAATATATAAATGCGTCGAACAAAATGCCAGAAGAGCAGGGAAATTTTTTTATTCTCAAGGTCAAAAGGTTGGTGATCGAAATTTCCTGTATTACAGTTTCAGTGAAATTCAATCAATGAATATTTTTGCATCCACCGTTTTCTTTTCAATGTTTTATCCTACCTTTTACACGTTTCCACATAAATTTTATAAAGATGTGACCTAGAAACAATTAACCAAAATATATACCATTAATGCAGTTGAAAAGGACTATAAGAGAATAAAACTAATTTTGACAAAATTATCTTTAACAAGGGACCCTGTATTCTGTGTGTGTGTGTGTGTGTGTGTGTGCGTGTGTGTGATATCAATATCAGTGCGCTTTTTGTTTCATGGAAATTAGAGCAAATTCTTATTCAGCCACCAGAGTCTGCATTTTAGGAAAATCCCACTGACTTCGACTGTAATAGAGACCAGGGTGAGCTAAGAGCTAATTCATCAGAAATAAAACGTTGTTGCAATTCTGAAACCCCCTGGTCTGCCGTCCTGTGACGAAAACTGTGTAAAGAGATGACAGATCCATACGAAATATGAAAAAAAAAATAAAAAACACGCATAGAGAGTAAATTGTGCATAGACAGTAAATATCAAATCGGTGAATAATGATACGTATATGTCTGCGGGAAGTGTATGCACGTCTTTGAAACCCCCGTCAGACATTTGGTTACAAATTGTTAAATTGATTTTTGAGTGATATTTGGTGAAAATGTTCGAAGGGTTTTGGCGTGTAACAATGCAGATACCAATTTTTGTCATTATTCGAATCAAACCTCCGTCCATATCACATTTTTGAGATCTGCAATGCAATATATTGACCTCAGCCATAGTCAATAATAGCACAATGCTCATAATAATGATATAATTTTATTGAGCACATTTTTACATAAAGGCTCTGTTAACTACAGTAATAGTATAATAAATAGCCTTATATATATAAAGTAGATAATATCCCTTCTGATACTCAATGGTCATTGTGAGAACAATACTTGAAAGTCTTGTTAACTGAAAAGTTTTACGCTAATCACTTGTGGAGGAATTACTTTACTCACTATATAAAAAAGACAACACAATTCGTGCATATTTTTTCTTCCGTTAGTATCTTATATAACACTTTATTGTAACTGGTACCAATCTTGGTGTTTTCTTCATGGACAGGAGGTTAGAACTATGGGCGGCGCTTTCCTTGTACTAGTGATGGTAGTCTTTGGGAAAAATGACGAATTCGTAGTGCATTACATGTAAGTGCTTGCTACTAAAGGCAATGTCGGAACTGTACACAATGTTGGAGGAGGAGGATTGCCATCCCGGTTTTTTAAATGTTCCAGATTCACCGTGTGACCTGCGTATGATCCGGTGTGTCCTGTGTATAATCCGGTGTATCCTGTGTATAGTTTAGAGCATGCATGTAGCTACGGATCTTTTTTTCGCTCAGAGTGACAAGTGCCACAATTTTTTTAGTTTTTAGATCACCGAAAAAAAATGCTGCAGCAATGAACACTTAAATATCGCAATGTTTTATGTGATTTGAGCTTGTTTTAAGGAATTGACATATTCTGAAACAATTTTAAAAACATAATTGGAATAGCTGCACAAAGATTTCACTGAAAATGCCATCAGTTCTACCCATTCTACTAATCTACTAATCAAACTTTATTTCTGGAACAATCAAATCTTTGAGGTATATAATAAAGTATATTGGTACTTTTTTATACCAATGGATAAACCTATTTCCTGGAACGACTACCACACAAGATTCTAAGAAAATCACTTTTATGTAGCAAGTATGAATATTGATACTCGACACGCAATATGTTTAACAACCTGTGTGCGTTTGCAAATTAATCCTTCACATTAAAACATTTGGTCAAGAACTGAATGTTCGATTTAGAAAGGCGACTATGATCCATTTCAAATCTTAATTAACAGCTTGGTGATGCACCGGTTGACCCCCCCCCCCCCAAAAAAAAAAAAAATCATCAATTATGAATATCTTTCTTCCAAATTGTTTATTCACATGGCTTC